TTTTATTTAAAATTTTATGTAATTATATTTTAAAATGTACCTATAAAGAGAGAGATAATTTCTTGTTACATTTCGCTTGTTAGGAAACATCTATTTTAAAAGCGTAATAATTGATTAGCATATTGTCTATTTGCTCTATAATATCGCCTTTTTATGTGAGATTTAGCTTAATAATAGAAATATATTATTTTTATAAACAAACAGTAATTGTATGATTAATTTTCACATTATTTTATCGTATGTACATTTTTGTTAAACATCAAAATCTCTTTGATTATAACTTAATATTCTTTACAATATAAGCTTTATTTGATACTAAATCTTCTAATTAATATATTCTCTTAACGCTATTTTTATAATTATCTATATTAATTTGATATAATTATATTCAATAATTTTATTTTTCTAGATATTTTACATTATTATTATATTTGATAATTATATTTTGTCATAACGATACTCTTTTTCTCAAACACAAAAAGAATTGATTATTAGATACAGAAGTCCGGAAATAGGTCTTGCAGCATTCTCCGACTTGTATCCTTATCATTGCGAGCGCGGAAACCTCAGATAAACGTCACAATCGGCAAAATATTTCTGCATACGACTGTACAAGGTCGTTCTAAGTTCCATGAATGGTTCCGAATGGCACGCCAGCGAAGCTGCGATGCTTGTGACTGAACCCATGACCTACTGGCAGAGAGAAGAGAGAGAGAGAGACGCGATGTCTAAACATCCCCGTCGCCGGCTTCGATTTCCAGAACAGCTCAACTATTTCTGAAATTGCATCCTCTAACATAATTCTGACCTTATTTAAAAAAAGAAAACCTGTCTCGCGCCTTTGTTATGTCAAAATCTATTTTCAGTTGCAATGATATATTTTGCTGTTGCATCGTACATATAGGACTTTTAAATAATATGAAAAATCTTATCTATGAATCCCTTTCCGGAATTTTATTCCGCACTTTTTTTTTTTTTTTTTTTTTTTTTTTTCAAGGCCATTACAAAGAAGTTTCTAATTTTAGTTAAAATTCTTTTAAAATAAAGTTTAATTCTATTTAATATAGATAAAGTTTGATCGATGAATATAATATGTTCATTCTCTTCAACCAATATTAGTTGATTGTCCTTTAATTAATTAAAAATAAAATATTGATCAGTATTACACATATCGCGTGTGCTTAACGAATAAGAAATATAAGAACTAATTCTTATCCTTTTTTTGTGTTTTAGATGGGAAGATCAAAATTGAAGAAGAGGCTAAAGCGAGAAGAAGAATCGACAGAAGAGCCGACAAATACGAAAGTGCCAATCGATAATTTACCAAAAAAATTCCTCTGGATGCACGTAAGTCTTCAAATCCTTCAGAGTTATGGAATAAACAGTTTTATTCACGAAATATACTTTAAAAGGTTAAAAACGGTACAAAGATCAGAAAAGTCCTTGATTATGCGTTGAAAGAATTCCCCAGTCATAATAGCATTGTCTGGACCGGGATCGGACAAGGTATTGCGAAAGCCATTTCTTGCGCGGAACTCTTCAAGAGGAAGCACGAAGGTCTCCATCAAGTCACAAAATTATGTTATATCGAGTAAGTTTATTAAAACAGATATCAATGGATGCAATATCGGTGTTCAATTATCATTATGATTTCAGATCGGAAAATCCGAAAGAGGACGTAACTACCAAAATTCATCGAATACCGGAAGTCCATATCTTATTAACTAAGGATATTAAGGACACAACTGAGCTTGGGTGAGACGTATTTAGTTAAACATTAAAGTGTGCGTGCGTGTGTATAATCCTCCAGATTCCGTCAAAAAAATTATATGTTTGTATCATTATTTATCTGAAAATCTAATCATTTTGACTTTAGATATCAAGCGCCTGGCGATTGTGGAGAATTTCCAGAGAAGGAAGATACATTGGCATCGAAACCAACTAAAAACGTTGGCAATGTGCTTTGCAGCAAGACCGAGCAATTAGGGATAAAAAAGCTACACATCGGGCAGAAAAGGAACAACAAGTGGATTAATAACGCGGAATTATCTTCGAAAAAAAGTAGAAAAAATATATCTTGATATTTATGTGTGATAACATATTAATATATTATATCTAAAGAAAGATTTAGATGGTGCAATTTTAAATATTAGATAGATTTACAAATCCCCAAAAAGAATTTAGAATTTATAATAGAGCACGTTATTTGCACAATATCTGATTTTAATAAGATCTTGATAGATTTTTAGATAATCGACTTTACAAAAAATTTTAGTATGTTTGGAGTATTAATATCTATTTCTTTTTAATTTTATAATTTGCAGCAATTTTTTTCGCCTGCAGTCCGAATATTTTTCTCTTGTTTTAAATATAGAAAGTAAAACAAAAAAAGTAATAACTAAAAAGTATAGACCTCCATGTTTACAATTTTTTAGAAATACTATTGTTTCCTTCTGATAACAATTTCAAAAGCAAAATGACAAAAGCCGTATGTAGAAAGTTTATTTTCTGTCAATACATAAACAATTTTCACGGGACAATCACATGTTATATATATATTTATATATATTTCTGCTGCGTATTGATTCTTCACATCACACCATATTCATTAATACATTATAATTCGAACTTTTGTACTTACAAATTTTTATGTACAGTGCTACAATATCCTGATCCCATTACATCAGATAAGAAAAGAAATCTATGTCACAATGCGCAATTTGTCAGAGTCTCTTGTTTAGAATCTCATTAGAAGTGTATAGGGCAGTACAACTTTCACATCACAACAAACATCAGTATGTCAAATGTGAATTACAATTCAGTTTTCCATGCAATACCCTTATAATACTATTTTACAATACATAATAAAAAAATTCATAACAAAGGCGTGTATGTGAACGCTGTTCTTATAAAATAAGGATTACATGTTTTATTCGTCGAGCTATCACCAATCGGTCATCATTTTCTGTTCATTATCGTAAGATCTGATTTTGTAATGGCTATGTTTTCAATTTAAAAAAAGTCACCTACCATTACCCATTTAAAAAAACGATTCGTGCTATAATTTTATAACGATATGTTATTATATTTTGAAATCTTAATGAATTGGCAAATCATCAACCTATTCTTTCAACATTCCATTTCTTTTGTTATCATAACTTTGACTTAGCTTTATGTTTTAACATACATAAAACGAGCATTCTGTTCAAAAGTTTTGTCGACAACGGGATAGGGAAGTCTAACATTCTGCGATTGATATTGCTATATGGAATATATGTATATGTATTATAAATAACAAGTATTTTTCTCTATACCACCATATTTATCGTTATGTCACTCGCTCAAACAATGCATTTTACAAAGATCAACTACGTAATGTGGATTATTATGCTCACTTTAGACTAATATGATTCTCATATAATAATGTGTAAAATCGTTTATATAAATTCTTGTTATGCAAATCGATAACAAACGCATTCGAGACCTTATTTCCAGTTTATTGGAAATTTCTATGCATTTCTATGCTGGATCTTGTTTTATCAAGCCACTTTGATATTTATATCACTTCTCAAAGTTAGATTTGTTGCTTTATTATAGGTAGAATAAAAATAATTATGTAATTATAATATAATTTCATTAATTCTCTTTCTCATATTAAAAGATTTTAGTTTCTTTTACAAAACGCATTATTTTTACATATAATTAATGATAAATAAAATTATACAAATATAATAGAATTTTAACAGAATCGTATAAAAAATTTTGTTTATACATATAGAATGTTTATAAACAATTATATATATACTAACTTATACTACTAGTGTAAATCAGTTATACATTTTTTTTTCATTATACGTATTTAGCATATAAAGACACTATTATTTTTACAAAAAAAAAGTTGTACAATTGTTACATTCAAAACAGAGAGATATGAGAAACACTTTTCCCAGTGTCTGATAACTTCAATAGCTTAAGATTAAAAATTTATAATATATATTCTACTATTACCAATATAATTATAAAAAGTGTAACAGATTAAATTACTGTATATAGTATCCTTTACGAAATTTGATAGTTTTAATGAATTTTCTTATGCTGCTCTAAAACATTGCTCAGATCTTAAATATTAAAAAATAAATATAAGTAAATATAAGGATATGATTTGCCAAAATGCGGAAAAAACTCTATATATATCAATAATTGCATAACTATTGATATAACATTCATTGAAGATAGTTTCTGTTTAACCTAATCATATTGGAGACAGATAAAAGATTATAACAAATTTATGCTATTTAAGTATGAACAAATTTACTGACCCTATTCAAAGACCTTTGTCATATATATATATATATTTGTCATAAAGTATTAGAATGTTATGTGAATATTAGCAATTTTTCCTACTAGATCTGGCAATTCGACTTTGGACAATACGATCGCAATGTTAAGTCCTATGCTTCGCTTTCCGTTGCGCCATCACCTTCCATAATAGGTACTATTAAATTATCCTTTGACATCAGATTATATTTTGTCACAAATGAGGTAAACCTGTAACAAAGTAGTAAAAATTATTTTTTCATTGTATAATATGATATATATTGGCTGTATAAAAATATCGATAGGTTGCATTTATTACCTGCGGCAAAGGTAAGTCTCATTTTCGAATTCATCAAATATTGTTCTATGGTGGAAGTATGCATGTGAAAAGATTCTGTAAACCCTACGGCAGACGGAACCAAGTTTTGCTACAGAAGATTCCTTAATGCTGATTCTGAAAAAGGAATTAACATATCACAAGCTAATTAGAAATTTTATATAGAAAAATTTATTTAGAAATATAACAATAAATTTTGTTTAAATGAGACATAAAGAAATTACCTGCTGGGAAAATATTTGTTGCTGTTGAGTAGACACGCCGCTCCATCCAGGGTGTGCCGAGTATAATCAATCGCAGGACATTCTTTGGGAGTTTTATGTGCAGCGCATAAAAATATCCACTGTTCCGTAGCTGTCATCTGTGTGCATGTTTCAGGATGACATTCTTCTTGTAATCTCACCGCCAAACCATTAAGTTCCATGCAAAACTGTCTGAGATGTTCATATTTCCATACTCCTTCATCATTAGCTTCTGGCATATTAAGTATTAAATCAATGTTAGATGGATCTCTTCTGATCATTTGTTGAATATATTGTTGCACAGCCAGCGTGCTATCCATTTCTTCAAACGGTTCATCAGGCCACCTGCTAAAGTCCTAGAATAACAAAACTTTAAGTATATAAGCTTGATAAAAATAATTAAACTACGTCAATGTTTTTAAATAATCGATTTCTTCTTTGTTATATAGGTCGTCATGATAAAAATAGATTAGATATTGTATAAAATGCAGCTCTGCGATTTTATACCAATTTGTAACAGTCAACGAAGAATGTCAAATATGAGATAAACGGTCCGTATCGCTTTAAAAATATAAAATAGGAAATTTTATACAAATGTATTTCGCACGAAGAAAATAAATGATCTGATATATTTTTTTCATATTTTGGTGGAGGCTGAGAAAATATGTCACAGTCATATAATCACAAAAATATCTTGCAAAGAATTTATATAAATGCAGGCGATCCTACGAGAGAAGATAACAAAATATATATTATTCTCGTAGTATAAACAGTGTCTCGGTTTATCTCGCATAGTTCATTGATTTTCATTGGGAAAGTGTCAAAGGAGGGAGGAAGTGTTAGGAAATCTGTGAAGATATGGTCGGTGTGATGTGGATTCTAGCAATCTGTGAAATATCGCTTGTGGATGCGACTACAACTTCTTTAATGAAATTAATAACCTCTGCTTTCGTTCCAGGTCTGTTTCTTCGCAAAATCGTAGGTCCGTCCGCCATCTTCATCTTGCCAGTTGTTGCACTTGACTGACCGGTATGCACGCTCACGCTCGATTAGCAAGGAGATAGGAGATGACCGCTCCGCTCCGAAGTACTCGTCGATTGATGATGATGTGCACCCGCGAACGCAAGTCCTGTTTCGTTCCATCCTAGAAAAGACGAATCAAGTCTGAAAGTTGCCTAGACTGTTTCCTCTAGAAGAATTATGCATGCGCATTATGCCATCTGTGTGAAGCGTATAAACTCATATTTTAAAAATTTTGCGCCATTTTTTAAATTTGCATAAATATCTCGTCAACGATTCGCACAATCATTATACAGTTATTTCGTCCGTGATTCTCAAATCATGTTCATCTAATACCCACATATGTATATCAGCTTCTATTAAAGCTTGAGGACTCGACTTTTAAAATTTGAATCACAGCAACTTATATTTCAGTATTTACATTCAACAAAGTTACAAGTTTCAAAGTTTTATATATTTATATAATAAATTATAAATATATGAAAAAGACAGATAAAACAATTATAAATAAAAATTTTCTTTACATTGTATTTAGAAAAATATTTATTTCTTTTTAGCATATTATATACAAATCTATAAACTAGCGTTTCCCATTATATCATTCATTTGACAAAGTATTATCATTGTTTGCTTGATCTTCAATATATGTTCTTGTCACTATACACTTTGTCATATGACAATTACATGGAATATCGTGCTCTACTTCCTCTGCGTCTAACAAATTTAGTTCTATATTGTAACGTCTTGGATTCGATACATCTCTTTTTAATTCCAATTTAAAGGCGATAGGTTCATTTTTTATCACCTCTATATCTTCAGGTAGGACAATTGCAGTTTGTTTCCAATGTGTTGCCTCATCATGAGGTGCTGTAGATAGTTCTGAACCATCTGGGAATTCGACCGCAAACCAAATGCACATCCCTTGATAATTCCCACCCTTCTCACATACCGATACATAATCTTCTCCACCTAATAGATTTATTTCCTCTACAGAGATGCAATTTAAATCCAGCCAAGCAAGCAATTTTCCTTCTGCCAAAAGATTATTTTGATTTAAAAGTAGCACTTCTGGTTTCATTGATTTAATTTTTCTGTACTCTTTTCCAATACATCTAAATAAAAATTGAGCATATCGTTGAGTAAATATAATTCTTGAAATCATAAATATAAAAAAAGAGAATAAGAAAAAGAAAGAGAGAAGTAAAATATATTACTATTTTTTAAGTTTAAGAAATTAGACATATGTGTGGTGCCATTACTTGTTTTCTCTTTGTTATTTAAAAATAATATGTAATTACCTCATACTGACTCCACATACATTATCCCAAAATTCATACATCGATGGTAACTGGCATGGTGAAGCATACAATTTTGCTATGGATGGGAATAACAAACCATCCTCTCGTAAGAAGTTATCTCTAGCAAAAAGTACAGAATCTAACATTCCTTCATGTACTAAATAAAAACCCATCCATTCTGAAACAATTATATCCACTTTCTCCAAACTATCTGGATGGATATCCTCTACCTTACTGTGAATTACTACAACTGTATCTTGTACATTATTTTCAATCAACACTTGTTCAATAGTCTTTGCCAACATACTTGCTTCCACTGCATATACTTTCTTTGCACCAATTTGAGCACAAAAAATTGATAATATACCTGCAAAAAAATATACATATGATCATAATACATAATATGTTATAATATAATGTGTCGGGGAAAGTAATATATGTATAATACATATTTTTAATAGACAATACATATAATTGGTCGTAAGAAAAATTTAATAAGCTAATAATTTACCTAAGCCAGCACCAACATCCATCACTACTTTGCCCTGAAATTCTTTTTTCATATTAAAAATAGCATTCTTGTATGTTGAAACACGTGTTTTGTCGCTTAGCATTAATTGATGAATCTAAAAATATGCATTTAATAAACATATACATACAATGAACATTATATAACTGAATATATATATATTTATTTGACTTACATCGAGTTCTTCGTAGCTTTCAAAATATTGATCCATGATTTATTGATACAGATAACCTAAATAAAAATTATATGTAAAATAATCCACACTTTTCTTCTTTTAATGTTGCTACTTATTTAATCTTTGTTTTTCTTATTCGATATCTGAAAAAATATATAAATCAAATATATATTTTAAACATTGAGTGTGTAAACACGTGGGTGACATATCATCTAACCTTCTTATATTCAGTGTTTCGCTCAATGTCGATGAAATCCGTGATTTAACATTATATTTTTATCTTTCAGAAAAAAGCAAAAATAACTAAACGTACAATTGAAAACATCTTTATTAGCACATTAAATATTTTGAAAAAAAAAAATATGTATTGCATTTTTTTTAAACACGATCGTTTGAAAATTTATACATATATATATGTATAATAATTGTAATTATTAAATTGCATCTATAGTTTACATCACGTATGCCATAGATTTGCAGTACTGGCAGTGATATCGGAATAATCGGAAAGCAGCCTAATTATTATATAGAAAACAAGATAATAAATATATTATTGAGTATTTGATATCTCGAGAATATAAATGAAACCTCTTTCTCCATATATCTCTTTCAAATATAATATATATCGCATTACAGTGGTTTTAATCGATAGTTTTTTTTCTCTTTCTCAGATAATAAACTTATTTTTTTATTTTGTATTTTATGTTATATTTATTTATTTAAATAACAATAATAAGGCTATCATTTTGTCTCAAAGCTCCCCTTCTTAATTTTATTTATTCATTCATTTATATATAATTCATTTGCTTAATATAAAAAATAAATTTATTATATATATATACATATTACAGATATTACATTAATCTTGGCTTTACAAAAATGGATGTGTTTATATGATGCTATTTATGTGTATATTTTATTAATATTTAGGATTAGGCTTATTATCATTGTTTAATACCACAAGCCCTTCCTTTTCCATCATACGTTTTTTAAATTCCATCTGTTTTTCCATTTGCTTCCTTTTTCTCTCCATTCGTTGTAACTCTTTCGCAGATAATGCTGTAAAGGATTAAAAGATAATCAGTGCTTAAAATATCTATTAAAACTTATTAGAAAAATCATTTTATACATAAAAATGATTTAGTAATTAAAATTTTCATTATAGTTGTGATGAATTTACTCTTTTCTATCTAAGCTTAGGTTTTCCAGAATTCTATGAGAATAACATATTTTTATATAATGTAAAATATTTTTATTTATCTATATATACTAATATATACTTTATATTTAATGTATCATAATTTTAAGCAGTTAATAAAGCAATTTCAAAATATAATAAAATCAAAATTTATAGGGTATATTTAGTTTGAATTAAATATTAGGAAAATTTTATCACATACACATATTTAAATAGATCTGGATCTTATAGTGCAAATCCAGCATATACTGCAAGTCCAACATACATTAATAATAATGATTTCGATCGATATTGAATACATTCACTTATCTGGTATATTACCTTGTTTTGATTTCTCTTCAATTTTAGTATCTGCTTTGTCATTTTGTACTGTCACTAATTTATTCTGATCTGACAAAGATAGAAGTTCTTGAGAGCTAACCATTTTTGATGATGGTGATGAAATATTAGCGTCAGTTATCTTTTTCACAATAGGTACTAGAATACGATCTAATTTTATAATAATTTAAATTAGATATATGTACTATAAAACATTTCATAAACATATAATTAGATAAATTTATTATTAGCAAACCTTTATTTTTATCTGATTCCAGATTTGCATACTCTATGTTATAAACAGGCTCTTCAATAGGAATATTTGATTTTTCTTCAATCTGCTTATTAACAGATGATTGTACCATTCTTTTCTGTATATCATCAATTTGTTCAGGATTAATTTGTTTTTGTGGTTGCAATTCTCTTTCAATTTTGCCTCCAAATGATAACAAAACTCTCCTTAAGCCATTTACAGCAGAACCCTGTGAATCAAAAATCTTTTAATTTTTCAGTCAAATATAATATAAAAAATTGTATTATCTTTTTCACAATAGGTACTAGAATACGATCTAATTTTATAATAATTTAAATTAGATATATGTACTATAAAACATTTCATAAACATATAATTAGATAAATTTATTATTAGCAAACCTTTATTTTTATCTGATTCCAGATTTGCATACTCTATGTTATAAACAGGCTCTTCAATAGGAATATTTGATTTTTCTTCAATCTGCTTATTAACAGATGATTGTACCATTCTTTTCTGTATATCATCAATTTGTTCAGGATTAATTTGTTTTTGTGGTTGCAATTCTCTTTCAATTTTGCCTCCAAATGATAACAAAACTCTCCTTAAGCCATTTACAGCAGAACCCTGTGAATCAAAAATCTTTTAATTTTTCAGTCAAATATAATATAAAAAATTGTATAATTATTTATTTTTTCAAATAAGATATATACAATTCTTGCATTGTGTATTGACAAGCCTTTTGTAGATTCTTCTGCGCTATAATAACCAATATCTTCGTGAAAGTTTCCATTCTCCAGTTGAACTTTAACGGAACTAACACATCCTACGCTACATTTGGCACCAATGATCTCAACATAATCTGCAATGAATTTGAACTTATATTATATAGGTTTGATAAGAGAGAGACTATAGTTATATTTACAGAAATATATTCTTCGAAATTAACCACAAATATACCTAAAGTCTGATGAACAACAGTATGATTCCATTTTCCTTCTCCAAAAACCTTATTAGCCGTTGAAATTAAATCACGATAATCGGCTGCAAAATCCATCGGTTCTATTTTCTCAGATTTCTTTGCCGCAGCTTGTTTTGTGGTAGGCTGAGAGGTGGAAACATTCAATTTTAATTATTTTTGCGCGATCGAAAAATAAGTGATTTTTACATTATGAAGCCAAAAACCGTTATCAGTTCAGATGGAAATTACTCACAATTTTGATACACGATAAAAAATCGTGTCCATTGTACATATTGTGGAGAAATTCGCGCCAATGATTTGTGTCTTTAAATCACAAATTTTAGCGCGCAAATAGGAACAAGAGAAAATGAAAAAAACGCAGGATATAATCGATAAGGATATGAACCAATCATAATTTATGATTATCGGGAACTGTCATTTTGAAATCTGAGACATAAAGGACTGTCCAGACAGATATGCGTAAACACGGAATGGACACGCAAAAAAATCAACCAATCACGTATTTAAACTAAAGAATACAGCAATATGGCTACATGGCATTTTTTAAATTAGACATTTTGATTGGCCAATTTATCTCTTGGTTGGATTATCATTTGGAGATAAAAATTTGTTTTTGTGGTTGGATTATCATTTGGAGATAAAAATTTGTTTTTATGGTTGGATTATCATTTGGAGATAAAAATTTGTTTTTGTGGTTGGATTATCATTTGGAGATAAAATTGAAAGAGAATTGCAACCACAAAAACAAATTATATATATGTTAAGTATCGGGATTGTAGATATATTGTTTTTTTTCAAATACGTATAATTAAGATATAAATTGAAAAAGAAGTTGAGATTGTAACGATAATGAAAATGATTTTTTCTAATTCGGTGCATATAAACTGACATTAATTATAGAGTCTCTTTTTTACTTTTAATTATTTATTTATTTAAATTAATTTAAAAAGCTTACTTAAACTGGGATAATGTGTTTCTATGTTTTCATTGTTATTTACCGTCTTACAAGTTCTAGTGTGTTCTAGTACTATTAAATCGATTATTACATTATGATTATTCTGTAGTATTATTTTTATCACTCTTTGTGGCAATGCTTATACAAAATTTATACTAAACATATTTTTTTAAGATTTATCTGTGGTTTTATTGTATGTTGCAGGATTTGTCGCACAACCGGGACATGTGTGTAAGATTTCATGAATAAATATCTCACAGTCTAAACAAAACGTTTGATTACATTTTCCACAAATGTAGACCTAAAAATAAAAATACATATGACACATACATTATTCTTACTTTATATATTTGAAATATTAATTATGAATTGATTTCTCTTTCAAATAACTCAAAATTGTAAAATTTTTAATTTTTCAGTTATATATAGATATTTCTTTTCAAACTTTAATATATGTATATATTAGTTTTTTTATCTCTCTTTTTGCTATAAATCTTTATTATATATGCATTTCACAAGTTTTTAATTTTAATAAAATTATCTTCTTATTATGAAAATTATACAATTCTGCAATGCAACATATGGGAAAAACGATACCTTTTTGTCCTTTTGCGTAAAAGCTTTTTGGCAACCAAAGCAGAATAAATGGTTGCTTTCAAATGCAACTTCTTTAAAAGATTCAACAGGAAATAGATAATGATACGATCGTGCTAAATGTGGAGCAGATACTAAAGTAAGACCGCAAGCTCTACATTCGACGGGAAGCTCGCAATGCTTACTAAAGCACTGGGGACAAAGATAGCCAGTACTCATAAGTTTTACCGATTCATCTGAGTTTTCTGCGTGGCTGTAATAAAAAAAAAATAAAGAGAAGAAAAGTAGAAGAAAAACATAGAACTTTAATGTATATGTGTATATGTCGGGGAGCAAAATTTTTAATGCTATTAAAAATTATATTAAAGTATCATTTATAACACATACATATGTGCAAAAAATAAGGGCGCATATTATTCTAATCTGTGCACTTACCACATACACACTGTCATAGACGTATCCGATGCACTAGAGTGTAAGGCATGATGAGGAAAGCCCATTTTCACAAGCGCTGCATCTAATCGCATTGCAGCAGGTGGAGGATCTATATGCGCGTTTAACTGCTCTTTGTAATGTTTATCGTCGAGCGCAACACCGTGTTCTCCACCAGTAACGTTTGCCATTCGTTTACAAATATATAATTCAGCTGCCAATCCTATTACGCTACACCTGATACCATCCAGTTTCATATTCTGAAACAATTTCCATGCTAAGAGAAACTTTAAAGCAAATATTATTATATACAATAAAGCGCATACTCGTATTATTTCATTGATGTCTCCTGGATCACAAGTAGTAAGAGCTCCGATAATTATCAATACTTCTTTACTAGCATGAGATGGTAATAATTTCAATGATTTTGTAGCTAATTCCAAAGAATTTTGCAAGGAAGGTTCACCAGTTACTACAGTTTGTTGTAGAGCTTGTAATTCCTATAAATAATAAATTTTATATATATATATATA